CTGCATATAGATCGGACCTCGATCGATCCTCGATCAGGCCTCGCCGGATATCGATCGGCAATCGGCGGACTTCGAACCGGCTCGACATTTTTTTTTTAACCCATTATTTTTACCCATCTGCATTGTTAGCGTATGTATACGCTCAATTTTCCTGGTCACTGTCGTCCAGCCTGAAATTTTCGGTGATAAGGACCCTCCTTATCATGCAAATGGATTAATTTAATTTTTTATTCTCATTTTTTTTTAATTTCATTAATTTATTTTTTTTTTTGTTCATCCTCTCCACTTCTTCGAGAGATATATCCTTCTGAGAAGATGGCGAGCTTATCGGCTCAGGGGTCCAGGTCGGGGACTCCGGAGATGGAAATACGGCCGATAAGGAAAGACAGAAGGAGAGGAACGGTTTTATTCCTTCGAATAGCGTGGGGATTAATTTTTTTAATGATTAGCGGTATTATACAATGTATCTCGACCGAACGAGCGGTTCCCTGTGGGAGGCTGCAACGAGGGATACAAATGTTATCGAACCTGAGATTCATTGGTCGGAACGGTTCCAATTAGATGTCTTGACAGTTCTAAGAGTAATTCTTATCTGAATGAAGTTAACTGGGATAAATGGCATTTGGTTAGATTCATTCTCTTTCTCGGGCTGGGGATATTTTTTATATATAATTTTATATCTTTCTTTTCGTATCCTTCTTGGATGTGCGAACCTGAAATCCAATTTGAGGGGCAAAAATTAACGGGCTTATTTGAATGTTTGTGCCATTTCTTAAAAAAAAAAAAAAAAAAAAAAAAACAGAATTGTTAAAACCCTTTGAACACGGAGCCATTTCGACATATGGGCGAAACTCGTCTGACCGTGCAGGCAATATTGGACCAAACGTCGGGCGCCTTTAGGCGCTCTTAGTAGCCAAAGGGTTAAAAAAAGATACATTCCGAAAATGACCATTTTAACGTTTTTGAGGTTCTGGGAGGCTCTGAATTTTCCTAAAGTCAAAGAACCCATTAGAGTCGAAAAATCCAAATTTCCGCTATTTCGGAATTTCTTTATCTTTTTGAACCGTATTGGTTTTTGTAAAAATAAAATGCTACGAACAAAACACAACATGACAGAAATGTTACATCACAGGAACGTTTCGATATGCCTGCTAATTTCGTTCGTGCCTCAAACTGGATTCTAGGTTCACACAGCCGTCTTTCTTTCCTTCTTCCTTCCATCCGCCCGAGAGGATCGTCCTTGCCTTAGAAACGCGTAACGCGCGAATCCGCCGGCGCCGTATTACGCAATGACGAGTGATAAGCTAAACGAGGCCTGATTGGGCCAGATTGAACGGAATCGGCTAAGTCCGACGAGGAGAGAGAGAGGGAGAGGAGCTGTCGCGGATTCTTTCGCGATGACCTCGCGACTCGCTTCTAATCCTGAAATTTAACGCATTCGCGAACGGCAAATTTTATCAATATTTATTTCAAATACCGAGTACCGGCGAAAATAATAAAAATTCTGAAACTGGTTGCCGCAATCTTGTTTAGTGTATCGTCGTGGACGTGATTCACGTCAGCGGCAATCAGGGATAGAATTTAAAATGACGTGAATTCACGTCAGCGGTCGCGTGAATGTGTTAACATTGAAAGGGCATAGCAAAAAATATAAGACAAATTTTATCCGTTTCAAATACCGAGTACCGGGGAAAATAATGAAATTCTGAATCCGGTTGCCGCAAACTTGTATAGTGTATCGTCATGGACGTGATTCACGTCAGCGGCAATCAGGGATAGAATTTAAAATGACGTGAATTCACGTCAGCGGTCGCGCGAATTTGTTAACATTGAAAAGGCGTAGCAAAAAATATAAGACAAATTTTATCCGATAGAATTTAAAATGACGTGAATTCACGTAAGCGTACGCGAATGTGTTAATATTGAAAAGGCATAGAAAAAAATATAAGACACTTTCTGCCGCTGCCTCTGTTTAACAGATTGTTTGGTAAACCCTCAATCGTGTGTCGGATGGTTTATTCAGATACAATACGCTAAATGAAAATACAGTCGCGGGAATATTTAATATCCGAATATTTAATTTTAATTTTTAAACGAGCAGGTTTGACAAATCTCACGTTATGTCGCGAACGCATTAACGCATTCGTCAGTTTACACGCGGTGTTTATTAATTTAGGAAAATCGGAGTCGACACGCTTGTTAAATTGTATGATTACATGAACGTCAAGATGATCGGATAGAAACCGCCGTCGCGATAACTCCCGGTGCGCGATACCGCGTTATCAACATTATCGCGGTTAGTTCTTTCTCCTTTATTCCACTCCCATTTCTCAGTCGGAAAATCATTTTTCCCCAGGATATTTCCGGGATCGTCGGGCGCCGTTTCTGCCGCAAATTCGGATCTTGATCCGACACGCCTCGCTCCCGTGCGATCTCGTTATCCTTATCGCGGTGGACCCGCCGCGGAATCGCGTCGCCTCCGCAAGAGACGCGCAATCGGGACGTGAGAGATCTCCAGGCCGATATATGCCGGCTGCTCTAGGTGCGTTTACTCGTAATCATTGTGTTTTACTTGTCTAACGAGGCGCCTCCGTGGCTTTTATGGCGATCTGGAGGACATGTGCATATATTCTTTTTATTGTTATTATTTATTTTTTTTTCCTTCTTTTTTTTTCCCCCCCCGAGAACTGCCGATTGCGCGCGGCCTTCGCGCCTCGCGGGCGTTTTCCTTCGAATCGCGATTTTTATGTCGAGTTTATGTTGCGAGTAATTGCCGGCTTCCATGCCGCCCCATTGCGCAATTGCCTCCCGGTAAGCCGATGAGGAAATCCCTACCTCTATTTATTATTTATTTATCTCAGCCCCGCGTGGAGGTTTCCGTCGATTTGTCTCGACGATTCTTTGCACCGTTAAAAAGTATATCGAAATTTCGCAACGTTTCTATGTCCCCCACTTTTTTTTTTGCAGCTTTAACACGGTGCACTCCTTTCTTTGCGAGATTTTCTTATATTTCCAGGGTGTCGTGAATTCCACCCACGGGGCATTTTAATTCTTACGCGAGATTATGAAATTCAGATTGTAGACTTACTCTTCAGAAATCCATGATTAATGCACGCTGGTTCATAATTTTACTCCTTTATCAAAGACTTTTATTATAAAAACGCTACGAATTTATTATATAATTCAAAGCGTTTTTATCAAAGACTTTTATTATAAAAACGCTACGGATTTATTCCCCAACCTAACAATTCGGTGGCCGCGCCGGTCTCGGGTGTGCAGAGGGGTCTATCGGGACATCCCTATCGTCCCTATCGGATGGAGATATCTCGACCGATCGTCCACGAGTCGCGGGGTACATACCTAATAAGAGTTAGTACCTTCGTAACAACCGACCCGGTGGAAGCTAATGACCGAGCCGCGAGGATCCCGGTCCTCCTATCTACCGAGGATAGATCGGGAGTGACCATCGATAAAGGATAATCGACGGAGATAAACGCGGCGCGGGTGGAGAAGAGCGATCGGCTAATGCGAGGTCTCGGTACGCCTCTTGGTCTTTGCGTGGCGTCGTCGTTTGCACTTTTTGCGAGGCCAAGACCAGGATCGGAAGTCCAAGATCGATATCGATCTCCGCTATCTATTACCGATGAACAAATGATACATATCCTGGTTTTGGTCTTGCACCTTCGATCCTGGTCCGCGATCTCGGCCTTGGAAAAAGTCCAAGCCCAAGACCCCGACCTTGCTCGTCGCGACCCCTCGACGACGAGGAAGTGCGAGACCAAGATCTGTTTCTGTCTCGTTATCAGTGAAGAAGGTGCCGCGAGGCCCTCTCCCCCAGGACTCGAGGATGTATCCCTCGGGGAACGGCCCCCCAGGGAGGGGGTCGCGTCCCCACTGGAACGGTCCCTGGAAAAGAGTGCCCCACCCCGAGGAGGACAGACCCCCGGGGGACACCTGTTCTCGACAGGTGTGTCGAGGTGCGGTGGACGTCGAGGACCTGGCGAATTTCTTCTTCGACCAGGAGTCGAGCTCCCCCTCGAGGGGCAGGAGGCCCCGGGAGGAGGGGGACCCCTTCCACAAGGGGTGCCCGCCCTGGACCGAGGGGAGAGAAGGTGGCGATGGCGTCCAGGAAGTCTTTCAAGGACCTCTTCCGATGTCTCGGAGGGTCTCCTCAGGGGGTGGATGTCCTCTTGGCTTCCCCTTGGCCAGCCTCCCCTGCGAGATTGACCCCACGTTGTGCGCGAACTCTTATCAGGATCGCGGGTGGTCGGGCAGGTGCGTCACCAGGTGTTCCATCCTCAACCCCTCCGCCGAGGTCGACCTCTATCGGTGCGGGGATGGCACCCTAGTGCCCTACCCCTGCGAGGACGAACATTGCGAGCTCGCCTTCTATTATGGCGAGGAACACGGATATCTACTCCCGGTCGAGCAGGGCAGGCTCTTCGACGCCTACTTGTAAGTCCGCAGGAGAGGGTTCGGATGCTCTCGGGGAAGATTTAATCCCCGGGCGTGAAGGGTAATTAAAGGGTCGGGTGAGAATTTCCCGATGATTTGTCGGTCATTTTATTATCTTTGGAGTGATGTACCTCGTGCCCTGACCTACCCGAAACCGTACACCCCGTCGAGATAAATATCTTAATTTTATAACACTGTTATATATATATTTTATCTACGCGTGTCGTAAAACTCTCCACACAGGTGTAACAATTTTCCTTACACTATTTTAGGTGATATTACTGCCTGACGTTACGAGATTACACGTTAATCTGGGTACTCGTAATAGAGGTATACTGATTCGTACTTAGGATTTAACCAGTACCTCGCGTACCAAAGATCTTTGAATTTCGTTAGTACTTTGGAGAACGCAAGGTTTGGTACTCCCTGGAGAACCCGCAGGTATAATGAACAAAAATTCATTTCGTGGACCCGATATTGATCCGCCATTGATCTCTGGATCTCTTTATTTATTTAACGTTAACCGGTCGATATTACTTTTTCAGGAGTAACGAAAAGAGGAAGGAGAAGTCCCGGGATGCGGCTCGTTGCAGGAGGAGCCGGGAAACCGATATCTTTACGGAACTGGCTGCGGCACTTCCGGTTCCGCCAGATCAGGCTGCGCACCTGGACAAGGCCAGCATCATGAGGCTCGCCATTGCCTACCTCAAGGTCCGGACCGTGGTCAGTGCCGGTAAGTCGTATTTATTATTTATCCGTTTTCCTTCCGCGATCCTTGATTTCATTCCCAACGGGGTTTCCATTTGTTCCGTGAATTAATCCTGTCATTTGTCCACAGCCATCCCGGAACCCTTGGCCAAATCGGAGCCCAACGCCGAGATCGACGAGCTCTTCCCAAAGGCGCTCGACGGGTTCGTCCTGGTCCTCTCAGGCATCGGCGACGTCGTCTATCTCTCCGATAACGTTCAGGAGTACCTTGGAATATCACAGGTTAGTGTCCTTATTTGATGTACAGTTCTTCTTTTTGGAGTTCCACTAGGAGGTGAAACCTAACGTGGAGTCTCTTCCAGATGGACATGATGGGGCAGAGCGTGTACGAGTACAGCCACCCTTGCGATCACGACGAGCTTCGGGATTATCTCTCGACGAAGCTCCCCGAGGACGGCGAGAAGAAACCCTGCAGCTTCTTCTTGAGACTCAAGTGCACCCTGACCAGCAAGGGGAGGAAGGTCAACCTGAAGAGCGCCTCGTACAAGGTAAGGGCTCCACTGGAAGTCACTGCTTCTTCGTCCTTCCGTGGAATCGGTGGACCTTTTTCTCATTATCCTCGCGAGTGACCGACCAAGAGCGTGTAATCGAAGACCCTGGTGTACCCGGTCTTGGTCTTGCATTCCCTCGTCGTGAGGTTTCAACGAGCTGTTTATGGATTGTCCATTTTCCCGACAGGTCATCCACTGTGTCGGGCACTTGATGGCGCTCCAAGGCGCGTACTCCTCGGAAGAGGAACCCGAAGACCGCGAGGACGGATACGAAAGGGACTCCGGGGCGTGTCTTGTCCTGGTGGGGTGTCCCATACCTCACCCGAGCAACATCGAGGTCCCCTTGGGCCGCCACACTTTCTTGTCGAAGCACAGTCTCAGCATGAAGTTCACCTATGCCGACGATAAGTGAGTATCGCGCAATTTCACCGACCGCTGTCGGGATCGGATAATGCCGTCTCCGGGGTTCGATGCCCACCGGGGATATGCAAAGACCGGGACCGAGAATTGGCAGTCCTCGTTTAGTCGGTCGCCGAGGCTTTGGGTATTTATACCTTCCCGTTTGATCCCGAAAATCTGCTTTCGTTTTCAGGCTGGCCGAGTTCCTGGGATGGGAGAGCAACGAGCTGGTCGGTCGCTCCGTCTTCGAGTTCTACCATGCCCTGGACAACCTGGCGCTCGACAAGTCCTTCAAGTCCCGTGAGTACGAGTCGGTTCTCTCGTCGCTCTGTGCCCGATCCCGTGCCGACAAAGGACCCACCGTCGAATGACTCCTCGTTTGAAACCCGATAGCAGATCCCTCGCTCCATTTCCAACGCCCCGAGACGCGCAATGATCTGATGAGTTTTTTTTTTCCCGTCTGATTATTTAATACCCATTTACCGACACGGGAACAAGTTACACGCGGAGATCGCACGGTATTAATAAATTGGTAAGGAAAAATTGTGGTTGTCAACCAGATCGCAGAGACGTGTCTTTGAGGTTGCATCGCGGACATTTTCTGTAGATGCGACTGAAATTAGATCTTTAAATTAGACACTGTATCAAGGAAAAAAAAAAAAAAACTATGGAGACGGTCTATGTGGGGCCGATCTAACGATAAGGAAACCAAGCAATATCGCCGAGTCAGCTGTCACGCGTTCACCTTGTGGACGGTGTCAACGCCCACATAAACTTCCTCCTTCCTTCCCTCGGGAAGGAATTCCCCATCGTGGGAACCGTCCTCCCTCTTTTCTACGACCGGAGGTCCCGAAGATTCGCCTCCCCTCCCTGCCGGCGACTCTTGTCGAGATGCCTCGGGGTCCCTAGGTTCCCCTAGATCCCCTGTTCCCGATTTGACGACCCCTCTCCGACGGCGTCCGGGCAAAATTCCCGACTTACCCTGAGGAAATCCCGCCGTGACGCATCGAACGGGTTACCAAGGGCACGTGGCGACACGGTTAATTAGACGTCTCGTTGCGGACGTTGGCAATTAGAATTGCGGTTTATGTTCGCAGTGTTCAGCAAGGGCCAGTGCGAGACGGTGGCTTATCGGTTCCTGGGGAAAAAGGGCGGGTACGCGTGGGTCGTCACCCAGGCGACTCTCATCCATTGCTCCAAACAGCACAAGCCCCTCTCCGTCGTCTGCGTCAATTACATCCTAAGGTAGGATTTTTACCTCCTTTTTCTTTTTTTTTTCTTTCTCCCTGTTCACTCGTGGTGACCAAGTCTGCACCGACTACGGGCGAAAAGGTCAATTGCGTTTAAAATGTAATTTTGCGCCAAGATTCGAACTTAAGGTGAAGTGAAACACGTCGATAAAGATTTTTCTAAATGCCTACGTTGCCGACGTTCGTTTTTATATATTGTATAAAAATTCATTTCAAAAATCCAAATTTTGAATGCGTCAGGACAATTCTTAGATGATCAGGAGTGGTGTGTCAAAGTTTCGGACAGTTTGGTCTAATACCCTTTAAAAAAAAGTGTTGTATTCGAATCGACTGATTTGAGGGGTGTTTCACTTCACCTTAAGCACTCTTAGCACTTAGGCACTCGAAATTTGACCCTCTATCGATTGGCGGAATTTCTGCGGAAGTCCTCGCGCGGACTCTGGTCAGTCGACGATGACCGCGCGAGAATCCGCGGTTTCGTCATCTAGTGGACGTCATCGGTGGCGTATCCTACGTGTCGTCTACCCCACCTTCCGGGTCCTGGAGCAATGCTCATGATGCTCCGAATTGCATCAGACCGGGATAGAGGGGGAACACGCAGGACCAGAGGTGCGCTCGGGAACGTCACTCCTCTTCCTGCAGCGTCCTGGAGATATCGGGAGACAGTCTAGGGAGAAATCCTTACGGCCACGTAAAATTGTCCACCAAGTCGAGCGCGCGCTACGATATATATTTCTCGGCATATTAAAAATTAAGGGAGAGGCCAAGACCTCCAGGAAGAAATTTCTACCTCACGCCGTCGAGTTTGGTTCAAGGGTGAGTACGATCGTCACTCCTTGGTATAAAAGCTTCTTAAGGCGGGACGAAAGTGCCAATCGTTCGTGAAACGGTTCTCCAGACTGGGTGTACCGAATGGGTTAAAATGTTATTTATTAATTTAAAGAAATAATAATAGTAATTGAATCCCAGGGGGGGTTAGGATCTTCCTTAGGGCCTCCATATTCACGTGTTAAAGTATGGAACGATTTGAGACACCCAGTTCTATGAAAAGTTTTGTGAACTTGCCACTTTCACATCCCCTTAATCCGTCGTTAAAAGTCTACCGTTTTTAGAAGCCCCTCTCAGGGTGTATTTTAGTATTATTAATTAATCCTGGAGGGAAGGGTTGCCATCTGCCGGGTAGAAAAACGGAAGTGGAGGAACTCTAGGTACCCTGGTCGCAAATTATAGTGTTTTCTTTCCCTTAATCCCGAGGACTCTCGCTACTAGACGCGGTGTCGCCGCTTCATCCAATTCCTCGTTCCCCCGTTTCTTTTTTAGAGCCCCGTTCCAATTCCCTCCCTGCTGGAGTCCTTCGACTCGATTTCCCGTCTCGCCCTCTCCCGAGGGATTCGCCTCCTCCCCTTGTATGTGCCCATGGGAATCTCGGCTACCACCCTGGAACCTCCCCTTTCGAGGGTGGGTGTCTTTACTGCTCCTTTCAGCCTCCCTTTCCGGGAATTACGAGAGCCCGCGTTCATTTTTTTTTTTTTTACTCTTTACAACATTAAACCTCCACTTCCGGATATCTGTGACAGCGTTCCGAAATGTGCAAATCTACCCCCGATATTTCCCGATTACCCTGGGGTCAGCGTGGTACGCCAAAACCCCATGGAATAGAGAATACGAAATCATTCTTTCGACACCACTTATCTAGAGTCTGGTATTTTGATTTCATGCGTTTCGCGGTAATTTAAAATTTTTTTTTTTCGGGTACCTTGAGCGTTTTTTTTATTGTTTGGCTTATTATTTCAATTTCGACGCTAAGGGAGGGAGGGAGATTTTATTTGTTCTTTCTTCTATCGGCCTTAACGTTTTCACGAAATTATTCGGCTATTTTTGGGGGAAGTTATGGATCCTCGGAGCTGCATTAATTTCCCCGCAGAAATATATATATATATCGCCGAGAATGAAATCTCGGATCCCATAAGGAAGAGGCGTTTCGCCGACCCTCCCATTGTTCCGTAGGGTGTCTTTTTAGTATCCCGTTCGGCCTCTTCTCTCCTGAATTACGATCGGCCACGTTCGGCCCATTAAATACACATCCACTTCCGCGTCCCTGCTTCAGCGCAAAACGCTCATATATTTAGGGACTGTCCTCATTATATAAGGTAGCAATAAATAATGTTAAGAAAAAAAAAAAAGAGAAAAAAAAAATCCGTAAAAAATTCGAGAGGATCCGCCGAACCCGGAAGAAGTGTCGAGAAAAGGCGTAACCCCTCATAGGGTAGATAAATTCCAAGGGGGAGGAAAGAAATTCCTAGCTGGAAGCCACGTGCGGGGGCACGTTCCCGGGGTGGGTCGATTTCGCCCCCCGAAAGGGCAATAATCGAGATCCACGATTCTCGTTTTCTGTAACGAGGCTCTTGACTTTCCTTTCCCACCCTTTTCTTTTTTACTTCTTGAATCTCCGCGGTTCACCCCTCCCGAATGGCGGCGATTCATCTTGCACGAACTTTCGGGTTAATGAGACTCCTGGAGATATTGGAATGGTTCACTAGGGATTTATTAATTTTTTATTTAATAAATAGTTCGCTCCTTTTTTTTTTTTATACGGGGAAAATTCATTTGTACTCTTCGATGTATCCTGGGAATTCGACAATACCACGGTCAGAAGAATTCAATAGAAGGGATTGCGATAATTCCTCAAGTCGTCGAGGAGCTACCCTCTCTAAGGGGTGCGGATCGATCTCCCATAATCGAGATCGAGGAGTCGCATTCCGCCGGCACAAAGTCTCCGGGTCTCTTCTCCCACTTTTCTCCTCCCTCTCCTATTTCACCCCATTCGTCGCTTTCACCCTCACTTTCCGTACTTTTGTCGGTTTCGGCAGTTTCGCCGAGCGCTTCCGCATCCCCTCCAGGACTTGAGGGGGGAAATTTCTCCAGGGCTGCTCGGGGATCGCCCGAGGGTTCGGGCTTGATTTTTCCACCCTTCCTAACCTCCTTCTCTCCCTTCCTTTTTCTCTCTCTCTCTTTCGACCCTCCTGCGCCCAAAGAGGACTCTCCCTTTCAGTCGAAGGGGACGATCGAGCGGTCCGGTTCGCGGCGCGGCGCCTCTCTTGGCCTCTGGTAAGTCGCGAATCGAAGAGAGAGGGGAAAAATGAGAAAAAGGGTAAGAAACGGGGAAAAATGAAGAAAACGAGGATGGGAAAGGAGAGAACTCGCGAGGACTCGATATATCGGGGAGGCGGATACTCTTTCGTACGATATCCAGGTCGTGCTTCGCGATTTCTTCTTTTCTCTCTCCGTTTTTCCCCATTCTTACGTTCCTCTTTTTCTTCTCTTTTCTTTGGTTTTACTCGCGCAGACTTTTCCTGGCTTTGAGGGCAGGGTTAATTTTCGCTGTAGCAGGGTTTATGGATCGTGAAACCTCGGTGAAGAAATTCTTTTTTTTTTTTTTCACTTCAATCTATTATCCGTGTGGCGTGATTTTAGTTGTAGCAGAGCTTACTAGCAAGGGCATTGTTCTTTGGTACTAGTCAAATATTTCTCTAGTTGAATGAATGTCTTTTTTTTTTCTCTCTCTCACTGTAAGTTCTTTTTCGTTATTAATGATTGTCATTACGTTTTCTTTTTTTAATTTCACCTATTATCATCGTGTTGGAAATTTCGTTATAGGAAATTTCAATCCCTGCGCGGGTACCCTTTTCATGTCCGTTCATTTATCTGCTCTTGATTTTTAATGACTATTTCGAGCTCGGCACCGAATATTATCGCCAGACCGCGAAATTATTTGTTTACTCGCGGGTCTAATTTTGTAACTTTACGAGGGTCGCTTAATGGGAATCGGTTCTCGTAAAAATGTCCCAGGGGGGATATTTTTACCTCCGGTCCTGCCTTCGAGTGTCTCGAAAATCGATGGGAATTTGTTAGCCGCGGCTTTTATCGCGGGATAAATTTGTAATCTCGTCCTGGCCTCGATGTCTCATTTCGAGTCCCTCTCCGGCGATTTGTCACCGATGAAAGTTCAATCGACTTTAACGCGACGAGGGAGTTCCGTTTAAGAGTGAGTCGGCGCCTATTTGTGGCCGTTTATTTGCGAAAAAAAAAAAGGGGGGAAAAAAAGATACAGGTGAAGGTACGTACACTACCGCTCATACATTTTTTTTTCGAGCCTGCCTCTTGGCCATAAACCATTTCACTTTGATTTATTACTTCAATGAATTATTGGCTAATTTATTCAATCATTTGCTTGCCTATTCCCTGCTTTTTACCACTTCGTTACCAGACAATATCTCAACGCTTCGTTGATTAAGAAATGTAGGAATTTAGGAATTTGATAATAATATACGAGCGATACTGTACGTACTTTTATAGAAAATTGCTTATACCTTATCTAACGGGAGGATCGTTAAACGTTTATTTTTATTTTTATTTTTATTTCTTTTTTTTTTTGCCGGAACCTCGAGAGAAATGGTCCTATCAATTTTGATAACATCTCCTGTTTATCTTAAGAAATCGGATTTTCTTCTTCCTGGTTGGGGAAACTCTATTTCGAGAGATCAATGAATTATCGAGGGCATGATCTAGTCGCTGTACATCTTGAATAGAAGGGTTAAGGATTCATAAAGTGGAGGACGAGGCATAATGCGATTAGATATTTCGATCGGGGTAACAAAAGGACGAGGTAATTGAATTCGACGTGGGATTAATTTTCTGGGCCTCGTGGATGCGATTTTAAGAATTCATACTTTCGGGGAAATCGCGGATAATCGTAACTCGGGAAAGTGGGTCGCGCGTTCTATCGATCTCTCTGATTTACTTCATCCGATCTATCTGAATTAACTAATTCATAGTTGTGAATAATACAATGCCAAATTATCACTCACGGCCGTCGATTAGAAATTTCGCGAATTCCCGGATTATACTCGAAATTCAACCTTACTTATCTATATAACTATTATCACTTACGGCGTCGTCGATTAGAAATTTCGCGAATTCCTGGATTATACTCGA